TTGTAAAACTTGAAATAAACGCTCCATATCAATGTGGTCTTAAATAGATTCAAAAATAACAATAACAACATTAGATTATTTCTAAAATGACGAGTCTTGCATGAAATAAGAAAAAAAAACACACCAACTTTTGGTTATATCAAGTTAAATTTTCAAATATAGCAAACAAAAAATTGTTTGTTTCACTAAATATAGACGGCAATTTCAAGACCAATCGAAGTTTTCTAGGTGCAGCTTTTTTTTCGTAATGTACACTTAAATAGAAATCTAAACCAAAAGTGTAGCCACTAGGCAATCATCGGAATGGTAAAGTCCAAATCATTGTAACATTAATTTGTTGAATGGTTTAAAGAAGCATATCGTCGCATAAACTGGTGTTGACAAACAGATATATGTACTCTAACACATATGTACATCAATGAACTAGTTATAAATTGGGCATCAAATCGGAATAAATTCTGGGCACACTAAACAGCAACATGTATGCACACACATATACAAACGGTAAGCGCGCAAACGCATTTCACAATGTATTAGCATAGCATTTTGGCATGCAACATTACATTGATTTGGTGTGTGCTAATTGATGCACGCGCCAAGTGGTTTCACTTAGTTCAAAGTGACTCGCACATAATTTGCACCTGACTTAAACACTTGACGATCCATTGAATATGAACGTTCATTGAAAATTGAGTGTGTGTGTGTGTGTGTGTGTGGCACACATAAAATGACATGCTGTTTACATGCTCATTTCCCATCTTTCGTTCATTTCTTCGTCCGACCGCTCGCTTACAACAGCATCCATTCAATCGATATTGTCCAGTTGCAATTTCAATTTCCTTGCGTTGTCAATATTTTCAATTAAAAAGAAAATTGAAATGATGTGTATGACATTCAAGCCCAAACCGCTTTGCCGGCCATATGACGAGATTATGAATCGAATTCGTCAAGCAGCAAAACGAATTAGAGCGTCCCCCAAAAAGTGATGATTACACATCATCGCATTTTAGAAATGTTGCATCTCTTCCAAAACAGATCAAATGATCGCACCAACCTCAAGGGACCAAACAAGATGAGATTTTAAAATAAAGTGATAAAAACGAGAGAGAAAATCATATCAAGGTTAATTTGATTCAACATTGATTTTTGTTTTTTTGAATTTATCTCGTTCTTTCTCGTTCACTTTTAAAATAATTGAAACGAGTAGAAAATGGTCAAGCGCATAATAAAACGAACGCAGTTGGAATGCTGGCGATCAAGCGACTACAGTCACAAACACATACACATACACACACGACAAATTACAAAGTATATGCTATTACGAATGAAAAATGCAAACAAAAATTCGTGCTTGTTGTTGTTGATGATGATGATTTTAAACTGACAGAGAGTGCGAATGTTCTAAAACTACTGTACAGTTTAAAACATAGTTAGGCATGACGTGTGCTAATGATACAACAATCGTTCAAATGACAACCTTTGGTGTTCGCTTGAAGAATACGGAATAAAAATACACCACATAAATAGCTAGTGGGGAAAAAAAATGAAGAATAAGATGCTGATGAAAAAAAGACGTATGAAAAGTTATTATTGTTTTTATTTTCGGAACACATGACACTGTCAATTACCGATTGACAGACATAAATACGTATTTTTGTGCATTTTGAACGGCACTTGAAGTCAAAGTATGGCAATAAGACAACATTGCTTACTGACGCCACCAAATACCTTCATATAATTCTATATAGTTCTGCGGTTGCCAGCGGTACTAATCTCTAATAAAGAGTTTCCGACCTGTCATTATTTCCATGCTCTGCTTGAAGTGATCAATCCACACATCGATCGAATGAAATGGAAAATATTCAAATAGTTGCCCATTGTTCGGTCATGTGCGCAGGAATGCTCATTTCATATACAAAAAAAAAAACCAATTAAAAACCGACATAAAACATTGTACATTGATTTCCCATAAAAAAAAGTGGGCCAGCTTTATTTTGAGGGGGTTTGATGATACTGCGTGGTCGAAATCATAATTCGAAATCACATCACACACACACACACACACAAAAAAAACTGTCAACAATATACATATGAATTATATTCAATTTTAATATGATTTGTTTGAAGTTCCAAAATGAATTGCAAATTAGAACGTGCTTCCACCTGCCAATCAAAATGGTGATATCGCAAACGAAATAGACTTCATTCTTTGTGGCTTGCGTGAATCAAAATATTCACTTTGCAATCTTTTTGTGTGTGTAAAATTTCTTTGTATTTGCACGACATACAGTAGTGACAAACGGTTTACCTCATTTTTTTCTTTGAAACCACCACATCTGTTTCAATGCAATTAATTATAATTTATTATAAAGAGTGAAACAAATTTAAAACAGACGAAATATGACCTAAAACAATAATTTCATTATAATAGCTCCAAAGTGAGCGTTTGTCTTGATTTAGACATTGTTTTTTATCATTGTTTTGCTTTCTTTTATGTAACACACACACACACAAACATGTGTTAAGTTATTTACAAATATAGTTTTTCATTCGTCGTCTATTTTTCGTTGGCCCGCTTTGTAGTTTGGGTCTCTTTTTTTTGTTCTTCGTTTGAATTTCGCGTTTGCCATTTGCGCTCTTTCTCTCGCTTAGATTTAAATAAATTATTGCAAACATATTTTTGCATCGTTTTGTCGTTGAAACAAGTGTGTGCATATGAACGTGTTTGAACACGGCTGTGTGTATCGGTCAAATAATACACAGAGGTGGAATGTACATTTGCAGAGGTGGGCCCAAGGAGTCTGGCCAAATGTTCGACGCATTCTATAGCCGCAGTCTATTGCGATTATACATCGTCGATTGTGCATATGAAACAAAAAACATTTGAACACACACTTGCACGCGTGCGCCTTTTGAAATGATTTATTCAGCGGCCATGGTTTCCCACCTCTGCTTGGCTTTGTATGCGTGTATAGATATGTGCTTGTGCACAAATGTTTAGTTTTTTTTTTCTGTGTCATGGTCATCAACTAAACCTCGTTTAGTTACATTCAAATACGACGTAACTTTGTAAATTCGCCCGCGTATTTCTAATTCACAATGCATACGTTCAGTGTGATTTGTTTTTTTCTTCTTCTCGCTTTTCTTTTATTCAACATTTTTTGTAATATGTATTCATCTTCTGGGATTTTCCCACTCTGTCTTGTATGTTTGTGCTCAAACATACACACACAAATTACGAACACTTCAAATAGAACTTGCATTTTGATTATATATTTTTTTATCATTGTCATTCACACATCTATGATTGAATCTAACGATTTGCTTATCATTTTACACAATGAGACTCGATTTTTTCTTCTCGGTTACATTTAGCAATCAAAATCATTCATTTTGATATTTATTTAATAAACAGAATGAGAAAAAAAATATTTTAAATGATATTCTTTCACGATTAGATAATATATTGAGCGAATAAGCAATATTGAGTTTTTTATTGTGTTTCAAGTTTTAAACGAAACTAAAATTGGCACACAATGGAAAGACAATATGATGCAATGTTGTTGAAATATAATTTGGAATTTATCTATGACATTCAAAAAAAAAGAAGCATTCGAACACTTGATCTTGGTGTTTTTATTTTTGTTGGCGTCTCTACTTACACAAATATTCGTTTGCACTGATAACAGTGACGCCATCAAATCAATAAAATTATTGTATTGCACTGCAAATATATGAATTTCAATATGCAACCACATATGTAATATAGCAACAAAAATGCAAAAAAACCAAAAATATTTTGGTATTTTTCATTCAGCCAAAATATGTTCGTGTGTGCTATTTTTTTACTGCGACTTTGTTGAGCCATAACATTATGTCGGCCATCATTTCATTCCCAATGATTTTGCATTGATTCGCTTTTCCCTTATAAAAAGTGAGCTCATGAGCTCGGGATAAAAGTGAGGTCATTAACTAATTATTATTCAGACGCTAAATGGTGATTCGGTTAATTTTCCATGCACATACGATGGAAAATAATTACATTTTAATGTATCCGACTAATGATACGGTCAAATTGAACAAATTTCGCAATATTTCGTACATCCAATTCACTAACAGCAGTTGACGAGAGAGAATTTATTTTAAAGCATGCTTCAATTGTTTTCGAAATGAAAACGAGAAGAAGAAGAGGAAGAAAAAAAACATATGTATTGTTGTACTACATTTTTGAAGGGGAAAAAACATTTCTTTGATAATACTTCCAGTGGCATTCGAGTTGTAAATACAAGCGATTTGTTCGTTGCTCGTTTGTTGTGATTTGCATTTATAAGATGACGTCATGTTTAACTGAATGTGAGTGTCAAATCTATTTTTAAAACCATTAGAAGTACATTGAAAGTGAGTGTTATGCTTCGAATTCATTCAAACGAATGAATGAGAAAACATATAAATCTTTCCATTTTGACACATTACGTCGATTAAATCTCAGACACCCATTCCAAGTAACATTTAATAATATCAAATCAACAAATCAAACATTCATTTGCTTTTTGAAAATCAGCTTGAATATATAGCACAACACCAATAAAAAACCCAATTTAAACCAAAAAAAAATATATAATAACAACAATAAACAAACATTAAAAATTGTCAAATCTCGCTCTCATTCATTGACTTTATTCCATTGACATTCATAGGAATCACAACACAAATCGAACACATCCATTGGTTAAAATTATGAAAAACATAACCCAATGACATTTTGTAATTGTACCAAAAAAAAAAACTATGACATGTTTAGTGTTGCTCATCTGTCAGTTGATATCGCTCATTTATTTAATCTTTTTTTGTTTTTTTTTTTTGTTTCCGCACAATTTCGAATCATTACAAGTTAATAATATAAGTAGCTTTGGAATTTTAGGAACAGTGACAAAGAAAAACAAATCAATCACAAATGAATTCGAAAAAATGTATATTAATTGCAAATATTCCTATTATTGAAGGTGGAGATGTGTCGTACCATTTTAAGACGCTCGTTCCAGCCGTGGCCGCTGGCGCGATTATCGGCAAAGGTGGCGAAACGATTGCAGCCATTCAAAAAGACACAAGTGCACGAGTTAAAATGTCCAAATCACACGATTTCTATCCAGGTAAAGAGAATTATGCTTTTCCAACCGTTCTAATTGCATAATTGCATAATTGACTTATAATAATGCTAATAATAACGGTAGTAGTAGTACGTTACAGTATTTAGTGCGATGCGCATCATTTAGAGCAAATGAGTATTGTGAGTGTGTCAATGTAATAGTCGAATATCGCAACGAAATATTTCACGCGCTGTTTAAAAGAAGAAGAAAAAAATAGGTCAAAATGATGCACAATTCGATTTGTTTTAATGGCTCACGGGCGCTAATTTTAAGCTCAGGAAAAATGCCGGCATACATTTTCATTTTTGTTTCGCCTCGTTTCATTGTGAATAAAAAAAAAAAACTTCTACTACTGCAACAACTACTACTCAACGACAAATACTCAATAGGCCAATATGATGAAGTAATAGCATAACATTGTAGCTAATAGTCAAATGTTCGATTTATTTTGTACAGGTACACAGGAACGTGTTTGTTTGATAACCGGCTCGATCGAATCAATAATGACCGTATTAGATTTTATAATGGATAAAATACGGGAAAAACCAGATCAAACACCAAAATTAACTGACATCGAAACGAAACAAGCTCAAGAACGGGACAAACAAGTAAAAATCTTAGTGCCGAATTCAACGGCCGGCATGATTATTGGCAAAGCTGGCGCATACATTAAGCAAATCAAAGAAGAAAGCGGTTCGTATGTACAAATATCGCAAAAACCAAAGGACATAACACTCCAAGAGCGTTGTATTACGATTATCGGCGATAAAGAAAACAATAAAATTGCATGCAAATTGATATTAGCAAAAATAATGGAGGATCCATCATCGGGCACATGCTTAAATGTATCATATGCCGATGTAAATGGTCCTGTAGCCAATTTTAATCCAACCGGATCACCATATGCGGCCAACCAAACAACAATTAGTTCAAGCACTGCGTCACTTAATTCAACTCCGTCACTTAGTGCACCAAATCTCCTGGTTAATGGTAGCGGCATTAATTTATCATTAAATCTAGGACCAACGAATAATTCAAACCCAGCACTTAACACACAAATTATAGATCACATCAAGGTAAGCAAAACATTTACCACCACGTTAAATTATTTTCCGTTGTATTTTAATTCTTTTGCGAATTCCGATCAGCCTCTAATGCTTTCGTTTATGTTTTCAATTCCATTGGTGTGTAGGTTGCCATGCGAGGATTTGGTTACTTAGAGCCGGTTTTAAATGAAGTTGCTGCAGCTTTAGGAATTCTTGCCAAATACGGGTCGCTGGGTGTCGGTGTTGGTTTAACACATACCAATGGCACGACCCCAATCAGTTATTTGAATGTTACACCATTGGAACAAAGTGTAACTGCAAACAGCGTCTTCGGTGCCATCGGTCAAGTCAATTTAGATTCGTTTATCGGCGCAACATCGCCAACACCACGTGCATCCATTGATCGTTTTGAAACCACAACATTTGATCCATTTCGTCATGCTGGCCAACAAGCAGCCGCTCCAATTTCAATAAATACAAACACATATGGTTTGGCGACAAATTCAACGATTGGTGCTGCTGCAGCCGCACAAACATTGGGCGGCTTAAGCAAGAGCCCAACACCAGCTGATGTTGGCCTACGCGATTCGAAATCGGTCGAAGTCGCTGAGAGCATTGTTGGCGCTATTCTAGGTATTTCATTTATTTTATTTGTTTTCCATTTGGAAAAATGTATATTGTTCTTATGTAAAAAAAAAAAACAGATTTTTTCTTATCTTTAAAAAAATATTGATTGCGAGAACATTTTACTGAATTCCAATTTTCTTATCAATAAATAACAAAAAAAAGGTCCGAATGGCAGCAGCTTGATTGACATCCAAAATAAGAGCGGCGCAACAATTCAAATTTCAAAAAAGGGGATGTTCGCACCCGGTACAAAGAATCGCATAGTCACAATAAGCGGTGCACCGAGTGGCATTCAATTGGCTCATTTTCTCATCGAGCAAAAAGTGAACGAGGAAGAAACAAAACGACGTAACCAAAATACATTAACAGGAATTCCGGGTATTATGCAATAGTCGCGCATTCATACAGACATACATACATACACAGCGAGCATCGACGAACGCTAGATGCGGCAAACGAACAGCAAATAAAATGAAAAAAAAGAGAAGAAAATAATGATTGAGAAATTGAAATGAAAAAATTGTTTTGAAATATTAAAAATTAGATCACAGTAAATTGATACACACAGAAAATAGATAAAAACAGAAAAAAACGATACAAGTAAAAAGTAAGGAAAAAAATGAGAGTGTTTAACGTGGAAAATTGTTTTTATTTTCATAAAAAAAATGTGAAAATTTTTAGTCATGTATAGATCAATGCAATCGGCATGTACGACAAGTGTATGTGTTACCTATTCATTTTCAATGGTCAGAGACAGTTGATATACATATATTATAACTATTACAACAACAACAAAAACAACAACAAATAATAATAACTATAATAATATTAATAATGATGATGAAGTGGAGAAAAATAAATAATTGTTATTAATGTAGTTCAGTGCATAGCCCAAAATATGCATAAACATTATATTTTTTGATGACAGATAAACTATTTTAGATTTTTATTATTATTATAATTTTTTGTTTTGTTTTGTTTAAAGAATTTAAAGAGGAAGAGTTGAAAGAGAGAGCGAGAGAAAAAAAAATATATATATATCATATTTTATGTTGAATATCTTCTTTTCACATGTGAAATGTTTATCCTTAGATAGCGAATAACCGAACCATTTTTATTTTTTACTACGATTTTTATGATTTGTTCTTCTACATTTCTTCTTATCCTTTATATAAGGTAGGGCAATACCAACCGCATAAAAACATTCTCACATCTTCGCACATCGTTTAATATGTACCGTTCATTGAATATATAATTCAGTTTAAAATTGGTCATTGCCACAATACCGCCACCACCACTGCACCTGCCCTTCGACCCTCATTTTCCCAAATTTACCCTCTCTCCGCTCCCATGCACAATTCAATGAATTTTATTTTAGAATTTATATATGTTGATAATTTGTGTTCGAAAGAACGTTAAAAACAAAATGAAAACTATTGCAAATCCAATTTGTTTCAGGCATAGATTTAGTTAGTTCAGTGCATAACTAACACAAATGCAAAATATGTGTGTAAATATTGCAAGGTTAATTACGCTGAATGAATGATGCAAGAAAATGCATGCTTATCGTTTTTTTTATGTTTTCCCGATTCGTTATTGATGAGAAGAGAATATATCCAAAATTTATATGATAAATCTATATAAAAAACGAACCTGATATTGCACATATGTTGATTTAATTCATGTAAATGTTCTCACTATTATACATTCAGTTAATTTGAAAGTTAGGCATTTTCCACTCGAGATGCCCACAGCATATATATATCTACATATATATATAGATTTAATAGGAAGAGTCATTGCTTATCTTTTTTGTTTGTTTGTTTTTCATTTACATAAAAAGAAATGAACGAGATAATAAAAATGTTGTTTTAATCTTATGTTGTTAATTTATATAAAAGATTTATGGAAAATAATAATCACACGTCATAAATATACCAATACTAAGTAATACAAAACAATGTTAACTCTTTTTTTTTCAATCAATCACTCAACATGAATTTGAGATCATCTTCACATAAACACAAACACACAAACAAATTGATTGTTACATTTACAAAGAATAAACATGCAAAGAAAATTTATTTAAAAAAAATACTAATAATAAACATAAATAAACAAATTCGAGTCACGCGCATATTCACTAAAGTATGTATCTATATACTTATTCACTCTCACATACACACACATACATACATTTAAAGAGAAAACACAAAATGTTTCCAAGTGAATCTTTTTTGCTGCAATATTTAAAACAAAAACAAACAAACAATTACAAGAACCGACAAACAAAGAATTGCAAACCAATTACAACATACACTGACGGACGCCACTCTATGTGGTCAAGTGTCAAAGAAAAAAAAACATGTTATTTTATTATTATCTATTTTTAGTTGATTTAAGCAGAGTACGAGAAATAAACATAATAAAGCTATAGTGTGTATAAATTTAAAAATTAAACATGAAACAAAAAAAAAATTGAAATACACCCAGAGAAATTTATTCTAAACGAACAGAAAAAAAAGTTTAATAAATTGTTTTAAAAAATTTTAACAATAAAAATAAATCACATATAGTATGAAAAATTGAGATGTTGCAAAAATATACCTAGAAACAACAAAAAAATGTAAAGGATTCAGTACATTGAATTGTACCGCTGTAATGATAGAAATTAATTAAATGATGAGAGAATAAAAAAAGCATAAAAAGAGACAAAAAACAACAGTTATCTAGATAAGGATAAATTCATCAAAAAAAAAAAATGAAAACCATTAATAATTTCACCATCGTAAACTCGTGATGTTGTTTTTATAAATAGTAATATGTATAGAAATACAGGAAAATATTACTGAAAAAATTCTGATAGGTCTATTATAATTAAAAAAAAAAAACACGTAAAATAGTACCGCAGTCGGGTTGGGGTAATTTAAACAAAAAATATATATATGAAGATGCGTTTAAGCTATATTTAAAACAAAAACATTTAAATTGTAGCTGTCTCTCATAAAAGTGATGGCGATGAATTATATTTAATGGTGATTAATGAGCCTAAATGATTTTCTACGAAACAATCAGCAAAATTTTTAAGAGACAAATCAAAATTCGAATCGTAAAGTCAAAATAGGAATTATTCAACAATTTTTTCTTCACTACAAACGCGCTGTTCTCCTTTTTATTTCATTAAAATGATACGAATTCGATTTAAAACAAAAGAAGAAGAAATAAATTGAAAGAACTGAAAAAAAACAGAGACGAAAAAGTTGAAATTCGGGATGAAATTTGCAATAAATTATGAATTTTCAAAACCATCAAATATATGTGACATTTTTGAATCGATTTCGAAATACGGCTACAGCCGTTTTAAAAGAAGCGTGCTAGATGAACATCAACTAGAATTGGAAGTGATTTAAAATCATTTTTTTTTTTTTGTAACATTTCATTCGTTCAGAACTACTTTATTAATGTAATTTTTTTATTAAAATCAAACGCCAGTCCAGAGAGAGGGAGAGAAAAAGAGAGAGGGAGAGAGAGAACAGAAAATATTATTAGAAATCAACATCAGTAAACAGAGTTGAAATAACGTTTGGAAAGAAGAAAATTGTTGAAATGCCTAAATTGACAAAACAAACCCGTCTAGTTTAGTTTCCATTTATTCAAATACACTTACAAAGTGAATGAGGTTATAACAAAATGAAGTTTTAAAAAAATCGAGATAAAATTTAAGCGAAAACACGAATTAGATGAAAATCGAATACGCTGATTCGTTGTATGACTGTGCCGGTATGAAAAGATATCCATTTTATTATTTTTCGTTGTTATGGGTTCTGGTTGAAAAATTCAGTTTCGTTTCGGGGAGTAAATTTGGATAAAACTTTATAACAACATATTATTATTTTTTTAAATGCTGTTCACTTGAATTTATATTGGCGTTTCGTTGGCATAATTTAATTAGATTTATCGAGAGCTTGTGAATAACGTTATATATGTGTAAATGATATTCAACTTATTGAGATCAAAGTTATATTCAGAGCAAATTGAATCAAAATTACGCCATTAAATGCAAATTAATACACTTTTCATCACATAGACGTTGTTCACATACACTCTCTATTCATAGCCACAACAAAAAAAAAACTGTTCATCGATGAGAGCGAGTCTCAGCAAACGAGCCAATTGAAAATTGGTTTGGGAATTGTGCGTTAGAGAGAAAGAGAGTGAGAGGAAGACAGAGTATTAAACGAATATGAGCTTTCAATCATTCGGTCAAAATTACCGTTCATTTTATAAAATTAGAATTTATAGTGATAATTTTGGGAGAATTTCAATTAGTTCTTTTTTTTCGTTTCTCGTTCAGTAGTTTATATTGACACCAAGCACATAGTCACTAACAATGATTTATTTAAAATGTAACGAGTTTCAATTTATCAGCCATGCGAAATGTAATGAAAAAAAACGTAGCCATTGAATGTACATCAAAGTGTGAGAAATGAATTCGCTGAATTTTTTTTTTAAATTTGAATTCGCCTAATCTTTTATTTATTCGCCTTAATGTTCAATTTAGAAAAAAAAGAGAGATCGAACGAGCCGGAGGGAGAAAAGATAGATAACATAAATACAAAAAATACATATATGATCCACGCAAAATTGTTATTTAAACACGAACACCAATTCATTACACATTGTGCGATCATTATCTATCATTTTTTTTCTCTCTTAAAAACAAATGAAGGAAACATCACAAAATCACTCTACCACCCCTCTTCATAAAAAAAAGAAATGAAATTTAATTTTATATGTGACTTGTTCAAAAAAACAAAAAAATTATTCAACAAACATCAAAATCAAATATATCCATATTAAAAGACAAATAAATTAGAAATTATTTCGCCTCATTACTGAAAAATGAAACCAAACTGCACGGTATAATGTGACAAGCAAGAAACCGAAAGCGTTAAATTGTAGATATAACGAAATGAAGATGAATAAAATTTAACTTGAAGAAAGAAAAAAACTACAAAAAATATTCAACGATACACCGTTTTGGTTTTTTATTTCTAATATTGTTGTGTCAAAGTAAGGAAAAAGATACATTCGAAGAATAAAAAATGAAAAAAAAAAATAGTTACCTCTATTTCCATTTAATTTGTCAAATTAGAAATGCAATGTTAATTGAATTTTAATGAAAACAAACACAAAAACAATTCTGTACATAAGATATTTAAATATAAATATACCTATATGAAAATATATACATACATATAAATATATATATATTTTTGTTGTTTTTTCGAAAGACAACAATGCGCAATGAACAGCAAAGGAACCTAATTGAATTTCAAGAAAACGACAGACAAACACATTATGTTGGAACATTTTTACTTATCCTTTTCATTTTCGTTGTATTTTATGTTGCTGTTATTGTATAAAAAAACATACACACACACACACACACATTGAACATAAATTTTTGGATAAATTGATTATCATTTTACGCGAATATCGTTACTTTCGTTCGCTTTCTCATAAGTTCCGTTTAGAAAAGAAAAAATTCGTTATTCCATCTCATGTCCTTTCTCTTCTTTCCCAAACTATTACAACCGGTCAATAGAATCCCAAATCCATACGAAATTGCTACCCGGATGTACATTCAAATAAAACAGACATGCAATTTTGCGATCACATGACTTGCTGTGAAAATGTGTGAAAAAAGTTTTTGATCGCTAAATGCAAATATTTCAATATAAACTGAATAAATGAAAATAAAACCGGAATAAAAATAGAAAATAGCAACAACCAAAACATTATGAAGAAAATAGCATATTTATAAATATAGAAGAGAATTGAATAACACACACACATATATACAAAACACATCCACGAAATGATTTCAATTGTTACTGACTTACTTGTATGCACGTGAATGTGTAAATTTGTTGAAAACGAAATGAAAAAGAAAATGAGAGAAAGAGAGGGGAGAGAATGAGAAGGAGAGTAATTAGTGTTAGACTAAGTTACCAAGTGCAAAAATAAGTACTAATAAAAATTTTATTTTTTATTTAATTCATTTGTTTTTATTTCTGAATTTGACCTCAATTCTTTTTCCATTTTGTTGGTTTTTCGCATTGATTTTTCTTGTTTTCATTTGTTCATTGTTTTTTCTTTTCACTCTTCCGTTTTATTATTTTGTACAACTAAGTGTATAAAAGAAACGTTCTTCATCAAAAGCGCTAAAAGTGACACAAACAAACCAAAACTATTCTCCAACACAAAAAGTGGTAGTATTAAACGAGTTACAAAACAGTGACAAAAAAAAAATAACAAAAAAAAAACGTTGACTTTCTTTCATATTTTAATACGTAGAGAAAAAATCACAGAAAAAAATTGTCTATTTTATTAAATTACCACTTAACACTTTCACTTCCTGTCAAGCCATTTGAAGAAAACTTCTTATATTCTCTTTCTCCCACATAGACTAATTATCACTACTGGATTATTTGCACACTCGATCACAGACACGTATTATGCATTCAATTAATGTGTGCATTTCAATTCACCGAGAATGTAGCTAAATCTTAACTGTTAGTGTGTTGTTTCAGATAATCAAGAGAATTTAGATGAAATGAAAAACCAAATCAAGGTGAAAATAGTTAACTGTTCTTCCTTTGAAATCTATAGTGATGAATTAGTTAATTTAACGAAACAAATGAAAAAAAATTGATGTAAAATGAAGCTTAAAAGCTGTTCACACAAGTCCAAGTGTTGCAAACTAATGAGAAGTGTACCGTAATCGCTTTTCGAATCGAATTCTATGACCGTCATCAATTATTCGAAAGCATTGCTGCCGATTTTTGTGCAAATTCAATTGATTTCATTTGATCTGAAATCGAAGTGAGTCGAAAGCACACATCACAACACGTACACGCTCTGTATCTGCCGATGATCCCAAAACGCTTTTAGAATGTCAAGCATTTACAGAAGAGACAACAACAAAAAGAACAATCACAAATGCATTTTATGCTTTAATCAATCCAGCCAGAGTTCTTTTACTAAATTCAAATCGACCCAGAAATTGTTGTATTTTTACGTACAACTACAGACAAAAGATAAAATGTATTTAAAAAGATATGAAAACAAAAAATCTGAAAAAAAATAAAATAAAAAAATAAAACGTAATAAAGTACCTACTACGGAATGTGTGCAAAATTAAGCGACAAACAGACAACTATTTATCATACCAACACAGAGAATGTAAGGAAGCAAGAAAACACAGAAAAAACAGAGAGAACTCTATTTGATTATTTTTTTATAACACAACCAAATGAAACTAACTCTGCAACATGTTGTAGCTCTATGAAAATCGAAAAAATTATATTAAAACCATAAAACAAATAATTCACTCAATATTACAAAATATCTATAGTGATTGTGAGAAATGATTACGATCGAACATTAACGGTGAACTTATATAGGTTCAGGCATGAAGATGAACAAAAAAAAATAGAAACTGAGAGATAGCACGAGGGTGGGTGATCATTTCACTTCATGACATACTTGGTCAAAATTGAATATGCATTTTTTAGACTTATAATTAATAACGCACGATTAATAATCATGGTTAGCGTTTCAATGTGTGAATTAAAAGCCGAACTAATTCAAATTGAATAATTTTTTTTTTTAATTGATAAAAATCATCCGTTTCATTGAAATCTTTTCTCCTCAATTAGGGGTACGAATCATGAAATGGACTGAAATGCGATTCTTAAATTGTTCGACATAGACACGAAGTATCGATTATTGTTCATCTCGATAAAAAAAACATCGCATAGATAGGATGAAATGTTTATTGTAAATTCGTTGTAATTAAAATATACTTAAAACTTGGAATTTAAAT